TTACACATTTTTTCCGACATTTAAAAAAAGATTGCTTCTAAAAAAGATCTTGATTTCTAGTTTGAATATTAAACTGACAGCTGAAATGATGTTCATCTGCATTTTTGTCAATTTTGTAGAAGAAGCTAGGACATTTAAACACTCAGTAAAACTATAGCGAACCTTTTTTCTTGATCACTCTACTTATGACCCTGTTAAACCACACTTTCAAAGAATTATCCCAGTCGAATCTTAGAATAATTAATAGATTATCTGTACCTGAGCAATTTAAAAGTTTTATAGACTTTCTTGGAAGAGTAAACAGGTCGCTTTGAAGTTTTAGAGCTGAACAGGACCTCATTTTTTTCGCAATATAAATTCCGAAGCCATTGCTTTATCACTAAAACAACCATTCAAAGATTTTATATATTGTCAATATCTATGCTTTCAAAATTTACGTAACCCACACCCCAACCTTACAAGCAATTCTACTATAAAAATTAATTTAGATCCAATTTACATAGTCAAAATATTAATGTTTCATTATTAAAATAATTGAATATAGACCTGACAACTATGTAAATAAATGAATTTTGTAATCAATGCGCCCTCCCGTTGGCAATGAAGTGATTATTCTTTATGATATTTTGGATGTACTAATCTCCAGTTTAATTTTTTTTTAAAAATTGAAACACTGTACATGCAATGTATGTCTTGTACCAGTGATCTGGTTTTGAGTGAATAAAGAATCCATCAGGTGAAATGAAATACGACCCCGGGTCTGGGGTGCAGAAGGTGGGGTTATTTAATCGGATGCGCATGGTTATTTTTCGCTCTCCTCTGTTCTAAATATGGACCTTTATAATGTCGACTTTTTCCAATTTAAGATAAACCTTTTTCACACGATTTGATAATCGTGTAAACAAACACGCACGATTTTGTAATATAATCTGTAACATATCAATATACATGTACTTCAGGGAACTGTTATAGATTTAATATAAGTTTTAAACTGGATCTTAATACAATGAATATTTTTTTTCTGTTATGCCTGCTTGAAATTATCGAAAAAAAAAACGATCAAAACACTTATAAGACTCCATGTAAGAAACAATACAATGTTTTGCAGAAAGAATAAAAATATTCATTATTATTATGGCGAATATTAAACATCTTCGTAAATCTTCAGATATTAAATTAAGTTTTGAAATATCATAATAACGTCAAGTTCTCAAATAATATAGAACAGTTCTTATATGTTTCTACATCATCATTCATACTCAACTGAAAATTTATTTTTATTAAAATCAAATTGAAAAAAAAGTTTAAAAGAATGATGTCCCCTAGGTCAATGATAAGCCGTGTCGACTTGTACGAAAAATAAACCCCGGAAAAGAAAGGAAATCCTCATTAAATATTGACAGTTCAATTTTGCTTCCAATAAACTGAAAACGCTTTTTTCTAAATCATGTAAAAAGACAAATGGATTGTTTCTGATGGTCTACATATTTTACAGCGAAATATTTTTAATTTTTTTTTAAGTTTTCCCATTTCACCAAAGATGTTTCTTGATTGAAAAAGTCTTTTAGTCAATGTCCATATATTGGATATCTGCTGAATACAGTTCTGTATTAAAAAATATCGGACAGTTTAAGCCCTGCTAGGACCGAAAACTGTCTGATATTTTTTAATACAGAATTGTATGAGGCATGTATTGTACTTAAAACATTGATTTTGATTTACCTGAGACAGTCCGATATTAGAACATAAGACAAAGGTGTTAATGATCACTGAAGCAATTTTAAAAGGAGAGTAGGGACAATTTTTTTTTTCATTAAAACATACACGGAGATTTAAGCAGTCTAACGAATTATACAGACAATCTAGTGAATAATTAATCGAATGGAAAGCGCCGATATGAAGAATATCCACAGAAAATTTAGCAGCTGTTAAAGGTACACTAGTCCATTTCATTTTTTATGTTAAGCGTCTACATATACCATTGATTTAGATGTTCCATTAAAAAAAAAAACAAACATACCAGTTATCAATAATCCAGGATTTTTGAGGGAGACGTTAAAAATCTTCAAATTTCTTTCGAAATTTGTTGCGAATCTGTCAAATTAAGGATTAAATATCACATACATTTGTACTAGGCCTAGTTACCTTGATTTTGCATCTAGGTATCTTTCTTTTAATGAGAAAAATGAAATCAACACTTTCCAAACTTTTCAGTGAATCTTCAGTTGATACTATTAGCTATTTGGAGTAATCTTTCACTGATTTTTTTCCCTACAATTTTTCGTTCCGTTTATTTTTTCTCTAGATCTGTCCAAAAAATTATGTTTTAGAATTTAATTTTCAAAAAAAAAACATTCATGTTTAAAAGTTTAATTTACTTGTTATTCATAAATTGTCGTCTAAGTGTTGCAAAATATGATATAATTTAAGTTCATGTGTCAACAACAAATCAAAAATGCAAAAACGTTCATAGAATAGCAATCATTTTTAGTTTTCACTTGCCATGAAGATAATATAAATTTAAAGTTAATTGTTCAACAAGACTGAATATTTTTCGAGGTACAGCCTATGTTTAAAAGTTATATTTTCCGAGGCACAGCCTATGTTTAAAAGTTACTTGAAAGGTAGACGACAAATTTTCAATTTTCCAAATATTCAGTGAATATGTGTTTTATTATAAAGGCAAAGTCGTGTAAGTCTCGATTCAGAAAGAATAAGGAAAGGTCTAAGATGAACACCAATTTTATTGGAAATGGAATGATTCCTCATCAAAATGTTTTTTTTTATCATTCGTATATAGCACTATAGAGAAATGTTCGAGTTTAATTTCTGAAAATCAGTTCCGAATAAAAAAAAAAAAGTTAGGAATCTGATTTGACACATTGTTGGCTTCTATTATGTGGAAATCTCTCCGCACGAAAAACAGTCGAAGTAACAAGGAATTTATAACTGATTTACAGTAATTAGAACAGGTTAAGACTTTGTTTTAAAGACGTAAGACACACTGGGGGAGATAACTCGCGCGATTTCAATTGAACGTTTGACGTGACGTAAAATTTAACGTAGAAATTAAAGCGTCAAAATGACGAGTAATATAATATGACGAGTATTATAAAAGAAAAATTGGATATGGGGTTTGGCTGTGATTATGAGTACCATACTCAATTCATATGTATTTATTTTTAATTAACCCGATTAAACTCCGTAAAAAGCAAGACATAAAATACCATTCCTTATTGTTTATTTCATTTCATATACAATGAATTGTATTCTTGATCAAAGCGCAGCTTTTTCTTTTATTCTGAAAATTTTATTTTACATTGTCGAAATTTTCATTATGTACAATTGGCTATAGGGCATATTACATTCCGATTAATGATCTTCATTACAAGTTGTGCACTTTCGATGTAAATATTGTTTTTCTTCTTTAATAAATAAAACAACAATAAACAAACAAAAAAACTTTTACAATGTGAAATAGATGTTGTTCTCAGACCCTTGCTGATCAAAGAGGAACAACTCTGAAAATGTAGATATTTATTTTCCTCCCTTTATTCACGGTTTTCCACAAAATTAGAAACATTTACAGCAAGACCTAATAAATCCGAGAATTTAATAATATAGACCTCATATACACAATATAAGTATATAATTGAAAAGATTTGTTCAGTAGTACTGAAATTAACTACATTTATGAACATCCTATTGCAGCAAATCGTTTGAATTTCCGTCACTGTCAACAATGTCGGTTCGCATTTCCTCGAATCAAAACAAATCGTAGCCTGTAAGATTTTTTTTTAAATATCAACGTGCGATTTGATATCAATTGAAATAGATGGGGAGTTTGATGTTTGATATTTTAAAGTTAATGTAGACGAATGCGGAATTTTCATTTTATCTTTAGAAGCAACGACATTGAAGGAATCCGTTCAACATTGTGAGGGATGTACATTTATGCAAATGTCGATGTATCTCCACGGTCACATACTGTCTTGTTTGAAATAATGACATGAAAGAAACTACAATTATTCCATTTATATTACAGGAGAGTTGAACATACACCATTTTTTAATAAATAAAAATAAAGAAATAAAATGAAAAATCAACATATTCAAGTTCAACATAACTTGAATTCGCATCCAGGGTTTCATGTGGTATGGAATGCATAATGCATACATAGTAAGTATATGGACTAAACACTAAAATCCTTCGGTAATCTTTTCCTGATACATATAAAACAGTAGTCAATATTTATTCTGCTTTCATGAATTTAAAAACAAATGTATACCTTCGGGAATCAAATGCCGAAATACTAGTATATTTTGCACTGTAAACGATGTTTCGTCAAACGCTAATGGCGTACGAGGCAAAAATGGAAGGGGTGGGGTGGTAGGGGTATTCGAAAATTGCCTAAAAATCTACATTTAAATATTCTTTACATATATTATTACTTTTAAATGTGTAAGTTAATATATCATTGAAGCAAAAGCAGTATTCCAATTTGATTGTTTTGAAATGTGTATTTGTAGATTCATAGCAAAATCATCGACCCCCGTCTGAAAGACGCGCGGGAACGTGATTTACAAAAAAATATGAAGATTATTTTTGCTACCAGCTATCAAAGAAAGTTTTTTACCAAAATTAAACGACAGGTTTTTTTCCACAAAAATATTTTGAATTTGAAAAATACACAATTTTCAAGGCTAAGATAATTCATAGTTTTCCAGTTTCAGGTCTTTAAAAATTGTTTTGATAATATGTATATCAAAAAGATGACTATGTTTTTGTGTTAAATGGTTAAAGGAATAAGTCAATGAAATTTGACATTTATATCTAACCTGTTTTTTTTTAAAAATCAAGGTTTAAGTAGTTCGTTGATGAAAAATTTTCTCTTGTAAACAACTAAATGGGGGTAACTTTTGGAAGTTCCAGTCCAAAAACCACTCGAACGATTTTGTCCAAAATGTGCATACATGCAGTAGATATCGTCCTGTAATAAATATTCAAAAATAACGAAAATTAAACGACAGGAATTTTTTGGTGTATGTGTGTTGTACATCCTTAAACATTATATCCATTTACCACAACTTCTCTCAAAACCAAGGCATTTTTGCCATCATGTGCATTCACGTCATCTGTTATGTAATTAGGACGGACTATCCTAACTGTGACGTAAGATCCGTACAAGGCTGGCTCTTTCTCACACTGTATTGTGTGGATTAGTCCTGTCTGACTTGGTCCGTCGAACGTGCCACAGGTTTCCATCTCGGACCAAACAGAAGACACTCCGACCCTTATCTCAACGCTGTGCAGCCAACGACCTGAAATGGTAATCGTTTAAGAATGCAAAACTGGTGACCAAAGGATTAATATTTAAAGTGAGTTCCTTTGTCCCTTCATTTTTAAGAAATGCTTTTGGATAATGCTTTATCTTTTATCCCTTAGAAAAAACATATTGTGGCCCTATTGTAATTAAACAATATAGATTAAGATTTTTTGTTTATCAGCATTACAAATGTATCATTTAGGGAATGATATAAAAATCTATGAAAAATTTCAAATGTTCCTGATCAGAAAATGTCAGCTTACCATGTTTTTTAGAATATAATAAATACTGAAGTTCTGTTAATCACGGTCAAGGATTACTTGGGGCAAACAGTATTGAATAAATGTAACAGCTTTTTATGCTTTCTTCTGGAAAGCAACTTTAAAACATCTTTTACTTAAGAACAACAGAACTGTCATAAGATGAACTATGTCATAAGTCTAAGAAATTATTTGAAGAATTGTACTAAAATAGTCATAGTTTTACTAGGTTTTTAAACAGGAAAAAATCTTTCAAAAAAATATACTTATTACTATGTTTGTCAATCATTATACATAGGTGTGTAAAATTGGCACATGATAATTATGTGATAAATAATTTATCATTAAATTCCAAGATAAACATGCTTCTTTAACTTTAATTAAGTTATGTTTATGTCGGATCTCTAAATCACCTGGCACTCCAAGGAAAGAATAGCAAAGGGGATATCCAAGATATAATACCTCTGCTTGTCTGTCTTACCTTTTTTAAAAGTTAACATGTGAAGAATAGGGAGGCAATACGCCTTTGATAAGTTGTATCAATATGCTACAATCATCTTATTATTAAAAAAAAATAGATTTTGAATATAAAAAATTGAATGTTCAACAGCATGACAGGCCCTAATACATGTACATATAAAACTTTATGCCTTTAGAGTTTTAAAGGCATAAAGATCGATGGCAAATGTTAGAAGAAATACGGAAATTAGAATGATTATTGCATCACAGCTTAGCATTTACACCAAAGGGCCTCATTTTTTTTTATTCCACATTAAAAAGATTTTGGAATCCCCAATAATCAAAATTGCTGTAATAAAAAAAATTGGTGTACTGCTTCTCAAAAAAAAAAAAAAAAAAAAAAAAAAATACCCATAAAATTATCAGTTAAAAAATTGGCCAGGTAAAATCAAGATAAAGATTCTTTTAGCAAATTTCTGTGAATACTATCCTAGGATACTTGCTTAGAAAGTTTTTTCATGCATAATCTATAATCTTATCGAGAAATATTATTTCTTTCGGTAAACAATTGATTCATGCATATAAAAATGTACATTAACCTGTTGTTCTTGGAAATAAAATAAAATCTTAAAAGAAGTTTAAATGAGTTGTTCTGAGTGCAAAAGACCTTAATATTACAGATTTATATAGTGTGAAGACACCAATAAAACGGTTACAGACAGCGGATAAATTTAATCAGAAAAGCCCCAACTGAGCATTTGGAACAGATAAGTTTTAAAAGGCAAAGTATATACAGCGTTTTGTGGCAAAGTTTTAAAAGGCAAAATATCTACAATGTATTGTGATAAGAATGAAAAGGCAATCCTGAAGCATCATTCTTATGTACACTTTAAACTCATACGTATAGTATTGTTTCAAAATCAAAGAATGATTTACCTACCCTTTAGTAATATGAAAAATGAAATTTCATACTTACCATATCCGTCATTTCTATTGTAAAGAACAACGTTATTCACAATAGAAATTTTTCCAAGAGCAATCGTCAACCATGGGTGAAGTTCGTAGTTAGAGTGAAATACGTGGTAATTATTAAAACCGATAACACCATCCACAACGCACTTCGGATCAATAGAAGAGAATGGAGAAAATGGAGCGGTCGAACTAAAGGAGATATTCTTTCCAAGTGCAAGGTTTTCCACTTAAAAACAAATTGAATAATTCAAAAAATAAAAAAAGAAAAAAATTTAAGTAGACTTTAAGGTAAAAAATAAAACAATTCTAAATTATGCATGTTAGGGAGTTAATATTCATACAGAAATGCTACTACTTGTATTTATTTATCTATTTATTTATTTTTTTTAAATTCTAAATACTGTGAAAATTTATTAATTTTGAAAACTGACCTTAATTATATTATATTATTTTATGCTTCCCAAAAATTGTGTCAGTTAAAGGTGAACAAAGTGAAATTGGAACATAAAGGGTGTTAAGAAAATTCATTCCACATCTTTCTTTCATTTTCGAAAAGGAATACGATGAGAAGATATTTACAGTTTGTGATAATTAATGTATACGAGTCCATTCTTGCTACTGATAAGGTTTCATTTGTCTTATGATGAATCAAAGACGGAAGGGCATTTTTTAACAGATGATGTCTGTGCAATATAAATTCTCGAGAGGGATGTTAATCAATACACAATCAATCAATCAATCTTGCTTATATTTACGCTCATAAGCTTGTGTGATACAAAATAATCTATGCAGAAACAAAAGTAAATAATCCTTTATTTTCACTCAAAATGACCAGCATTTCTTTCATTCAGGTGCTTTAAAGATGTTATACATATTTTCATATGGATGAAAAATCCTATATCTTCACTCTAGAAATGAATTGCTAAAAATCGAATGCATAGTCATGTAATTTTGTCAGACTTTAAAATTCATCTCTTTGGTAAAGCACTACTTTGAAATTTTCGAAAATATTTCTTCATGGAACGATTTTTCTTAACACCCCTTACATAACTACTAATGATCTTTCTGTTGCTTTGAAAGACAACTATAATACATTCATGATTCAAGAAAATAATCTTGATGCATAGTTTTTATATATACCATTTGGAAGATGATGTTCAACCTTTACAATAATTTGGAGGTTTAGGGATGCAATTTTTTTTATATAAATATGCCCTATTAAAAACGATGTTGCCTAGCATACACATGTATGTGCCGAATAAATATGCTCTATTCAAAATGGTGTTGTCTTGCATATTTTGTGAAAAAAAATCAAAACTGACACTGTTATACATACAATTGTCAGAATAGTATCTCCATCCCTTGTCGTCAAATATATGTGACGTGAAGATTCTCCGATGAGTACGACATTTACTCAATTCTTCATTGTATCCAAAAAATCCACAATCGCTTTGACACATCCTAGAACATTCAGGAAATGATTTATTTTTATACTCCCCTATTAGTTCGCTATTTGACTTCTTGTCCTTAAATTTGAATTCGGCGATGTATCTTCGATAAAAACTAAAGGCATGAGACGTTGTTAAAAGGAAAACAACCAAGACATTCAACCAATTTCTGCACATATTACACCAGGCGTTTATCACAACCTACATATAACACGTTCTCTAATCAATGGTAAATATAGTTTCCAATTTAAAGATCAGCATTCATTTAAATATCAATGCAATAGACTGATTAATAAGCAATTATATTTTTTTATAGATATAATTTACTACCTCTGACGTATAGAATATGTGAACCAGCATGATTGGCTAGAGGTTGCATGTACATTATGTAATATTTTAATATTACCAAAATATAGAATTTGTTGACAATATTGATTGTAGAATGATGTTACACCATATTTTTTCAGAGCATTTCACACCGATTTTCCTTTCGCAGCATTGTTAATGCTTGAATAGGGCCGGGTCTAATTTATATGGGAAATGTTTATTGTGACGTCTCACAAAAATAGGTACAATTTGTATTCCTCATAATACTAGAAAATTAGATTATTTGCAATTTTAAACTGTATTTGCATAATAAACAACATTAAAACATATCAATGCATTAATAACAGTTGCTTTTTAAATCCCAGACAACGGTTTATAAACAAATCACTGATCGTAGCAAACTTGTCGACATGACGTCATTTTGGAAAAAAGCAGATCAAGTCTATTTTTACAATGTTAAATGCATTTTATTAATAAACAGAAAATTATTTACAGATTTTAGATAGGCTATTAATATCAATGCAAAACCTTTGTTTAGTGCGATTATTCTATGATAAGCGAGACACTGTATGTAATTAATTTTGGCGTCTTCATGTGTACAGGTTTGACATGTTGACCATCAAGATGGCTTATTAAATCGCCTTTTCGCAAAGATATACACATGATAGATGTCAACAATTTTTTTTATATAAGTACATGTAAAGGATGGTTTCCTTAACTTAAATAGTTTTGTTGCTTACTTTAAATCGAGAGCGTGACTTAATACGGACATAAAATACTTGATAAAGTTCATACATATTTCGACATGAGCATATTTACTTAAAAATTTACTTATAAAATGCCAATTCTATATTAAGCAGCAGCACTTTCCAGAAAAAAAAAAGTATGAAGAAAAAAAATGGTAACTTAAATTTTTAATTTCATGTAGAGTATGCCCTTGCGATATTGAAATTTATTTATGACCTCAAGTCAATACACATACTATGCATTTATAACGTGAATGTCCATTGATGGGACCAAACTTAGTTTGGTACAAAGTGGGATATATTATGTTATTTCAGTAAGTACTGAAGTTATGTATTAATAAAATGGCCTTATAAAAAATAAATTCAGTTTTGAAAAAGTCCCGTTTTTTGCACATCTATATTCCATTCATTTCTTTATAGTATGCCTTAACAGTGCTGAGTTATTTCTATTTTTTTTTATCATATTCTGTAATAACTTTGTCACTACATTTATTTTTTCCCGTACATAACACGACATTTCATACAATAATACTGTACATGTATCTCCAAAAATTTTTACATGTTCTAGCAGTAGAACTTTAAATCGATATTTCAAAATGAATTATATGTATATAACGAACAATGTTCAATCTCAAAATTCCATTAAGCAATCAAATATTGAAGCAAAATTAATACGGACCTGTAAAACATCAGTGAACGGATCGGGTGGAAAGAGGAGGTAAACATACCTTGGCCACTGGTGAAGCCCGTTGTGTGCTCTTTATTATACCACAAAAGTCACTTATTTTTCTTTTTACTACAAAAACAATCAGTGACGGATTAAGAGGACAGGGGTCAAAACCTTCAACCCCTCCTTCGTGTCCAAATTATACATAGGGTTTAATTATTTTTTTTTTAGAGTGGCTGTGGGCCCTTTCCTTAAAATGGTCTCCCCCTCCCCCACCGACACATACAAAAAATAAGTTTTTGATCCACGAATGACACGAGCTGTGCGTAACCATGCTTTCTATAAATTTAAATTAAAATTAAAAGAATTAAATTCCCAATTTACAATTCGTGTCAGACATAAATTTATTTGAAAATATACACTCAACATAACCATATCATTCAAAAACGATATCTAGCTTTCATTAACAGATATATTTCTCTCAAATGCTTGCATTCGAAATGATCTATTTTAAAAAAGGTATTACATGATACTGAGTTAAATATACATAAAAATTAAATGAAATTACATGTAAATAACACTTAATGAAAGACGCATGCAACATGTAACCACATTTTGCAACCACATAATTTAATATAAATGGCCATTTGTAATATATCCTTTGTTTAATAAAAAGAGCAGTCCAATGGAAATTCATAAATTGCCTAAATACCAGCGCTAAATAGCAAATTAACCATACCTTAGCTTTTGAAAAAAGGGTAGACGAACATTTCCATTGAAATCTCACATTTAGGCATCATCATATTTTGAAATAGTCTTGGATATAATAAAATGTTCATTATATCTTTTCTTATGTTTTAGGCAATTAAATAAAACATAAATATATTATAAGAATATAATGTTTCAGTTGTAAATCGCTTGTTGATTGGTTGAAAATAAGCAGTTTTGTCGTTGTTGTCAATAAACATATGCCCCCCCCCCCCCCCCACCCACACCCCGTGTTTCACAAAAAACCTTCGTTTGAATTTGTGAAATAACAGTCCATATTTATAGTAAAAAAGAATTGTGGTGAAACGGGGGAAGGGGTTCTAAATTATTTTCCGTTTTCCGTTGATTCTATGGTAAAAACACAAGTTTATTTAAAATTTTAGAGATGTCTCTTTTTGTTTTCCCAAATAAGTATTATTTTATGAAAATGCATATAAGTATCAATGAGAAATATCAACAATTCATCGAATATGTTAACTTTCAAAAATTGACTTGCAGGTAGTCAGGAGAACAATGCTATCGTTTGCAGTTCTTTGCGAGATACACCACGTACTCACTTTTTGAAGGTTGATTGAATCCATGTAGAGATCTTTTGATCAATTATTAATTATTGTACTCAGGGTTTGAAATTCAAGATTAAAGAGCCTATTTGCAATTATAAGTACTCACGAAGTAAAAATGCATATGAATATTAAGGAATCTTTAGAATGCCTAGCACAGAACAAACATAAAACATTGTGATTTGTTTTAAAGGAACATATTAATCTCTTTGTTTTGGTCTTTTGCTATCGATTTCTTTTGATTTCTTCCCTGCAAATATTTTTTTTTATTTCAAAATGTCAATATCCTTTGTTAATATCAATTTTTGAAGAATAAATTTCAAGTAACCATATGTCAGTTTATCTTAAGCTGAACAAGTGGTCATGGTAAAATACGAAAATTGGATGATTTTTTTTTCCCGGTTCACTGAGGACAACTGCAATCAATTCAAATTGGCATATTTTTATCTTTTGTACAAATCAAATATGTATGAGATATCCAATGAAGCCCCATACGGTGAAAAAAATTCATTTTACATGCTGTTATTGTTAGCTCAGTTTTTGTATCCCGCTTAGAATAGGGCAGTCAGTTTGCAGTTTCAAAAGAATAAAATGCTAAATTTTACACTTCCTGATGGATGTATCTTGGACTTGTTCTATGACGTTTTGTTCATTTAAAAATGAAAAATATCTTGAATAAAGAGCGCAATGAGACAATACATTTTTAATGAAAAGGCGACATTCAAAGTATACATTTTCCATTTTTCCATTTACAATAAATTCTGCCAAAGGAGTATCCTGTTTCATGACCAATAATAGTCTAATGAGAGTTTAAAAAAAAAAATATAGATTTACTTTGAAATTTTCGAAATACTGTTGAACTGAAAATTGAATTCCTCTAAGCTGCAGTTCGTGCATACGTTTCCTAAAAAATATAAATATCAAGAATTTCAATAGTAAGATGAAATTAGTCAATTAAGAAACTGCATTCAAAAATGACCCTAAGAAGGCAATTTTCTGTGCATTAACAAAGTTATGTCAATTTATGATGTAGTTATTACTAACGATAACGTTTATCCCCACACAAGCTTTTATTTCATACATCAACGAAATTAACACACGCAGCTAGGTTAAGCTCGCCCATAGGAAATATGCCTTAACATATTAAAAAAAATCAATATAATGTTGATATTATTTTTTATTACATGAGTTTTAATTTAATGGGAATAAAACTAATGCATATGTATGTATGAGGTCTCAACCAAGTTCGGCCAAAGCGACTCCACGTACATCAACTGTTTGTTACGTGACATGTTTAAGATTTAGAAAAAATATGTGCGGATACAAAGATCGTAAAAGTTCAACGATATACGGATAATTTTCTCCATGAAATTGATAGTGTTTTCTTTGAGACAAATTTCTCCATGCCCGGGAATTATATAAAGAACTGCGAACGATAGTATTTTTCTCCCGCCTATCTCCAAGTTAATTTTCAAAAGTTAACATATTCGAAGGATTTTTAATATTTTTTTATAGATAATTACATGGATTTTCATAAAACATTACTTATTTGGGAAAAAAGAGAGAAAACTTGTGTTTTTCACTATAGAAATCAATGGAAAACGGAAAATAATTTTAAAACATCCCCCGTGTCACAAAATTCCTTCTTACAGGTAATATGGAATGGTAATTCACAAATTCATGCCAAAGCTTTTTGTGTGACAGGGGGGGGGGGGGGGCATTTATTGACAAAAAACGACAAAAATGCTTATTTTCCACCAATTTCAAAGCGATATACAATTCAAACATTATATGTTATTGAAATATTTATGTTTTATTGATTTGCCTAAAACATAAGAAAAGATATGTGGAACATTTAATCATATCCAAGACTATTTTAATATATGGTGATGCTTGAAACTCCGATTTCAATGGAAAATATCTTCTACCGCCCTATTTTAAAGAGCTGGATTTAGCGATAATTTACTGTTTAGCGCTTGTATTAGGACAATTTATCAATTACCATTGAACTGTTCTTTGTATTAAACAAAGATTTTATGGCCAATTGCTATTCATATTGAATTAATTGGTTACAAAATATATTCGGGAATCGAGAGTTAGGGTGTGTATTTCTTTTACCGACTTTTGATAAACTGTGTGCATTTACACTATTCGCATTGAAGAAATGTAAAATTACGGAAAAAATCAACAGCGCACAACTTGCTCTCAGCACTTTTCAAAATAGTAGGGACAGTAGCTACATGTGTCTATGATATTATAATTTATAATCAAGTGGGTACAGTCCACTAATTGTTTTTCCATAGGCGACAATATTAACGTTTCTTCTCATAGCGATGTCCCTAATTTTCGTTCGGTAGTGAGTGACCCCTCCAATCAAAGCACATCAACTTGTCTTTCCTTGGTTAAAATCTCGAGGTTGCATGTCAGATTCGTTTTCCGGCAAAATGCGTCTGTCTGCGGGAACCTCTGCAAATGAAAGTGAAAGTAAGGTAATTTCATACTTCTCACTTGCGTTATAATACACAAAATAATTCGGCTGATCAACAACTGTGAGGCTCAGTTCAGTACACCTGCCCAATTTTTTTTTATGCAAGTCTGCAATTTAAGGAACTTGTAATTTTTTATGCACTACTTTCTTCTCCTACGATTCTAAAAATAATTAGTGGGATGTACCCAATATGAAAAAGCATTTTTTTTTCTTTTACAATATTTCACACTGCTTGTCAATCAAGAGCATAAGAAGGGACATCATGCCAAGTTTTATGAAAATTCAACAATTCATTAAGATTTTACAGCATTTACAGTTCTATGTGTGATATCTTTAAAAAATGCTCCAATCTATCCAAAACTGTACCCAAGTTTTGAGTCAAATTTTAGCCTATTAACACATTTATACCATTCTTAATCAACTTCATAACTTCAAATACATATAGTCAAATCATAATCAAGCACTTAATTGGGTCAATTTCACTTTTTTTAAAAAATTAATGTATTTTCGCACAAAATATGACCACTTCTCACCCTCTAATTGATAGTTTCTCCAGAAATGACAAAAAAATGAAGTTCACAAATACCCCGAAAGTAGTAAAATAAAAAAAAGTACTGATTATTTCCTGTCCATTGATGTATCATTCATGAAATTTTGACTATGAATGAAAAAGTTATAAGACTTTAAAATCCTATATAGAATCATTTGTTTCAAAGCAATTTTTATACCAATGCAAATTTACTCATCTATGACGTCACAATGACATCATAATAATAGAAAGCTCAATACATGTGTATCATTACTTTCCCCGAACTTTTCATTAAGACAAAATCAGTGCTTATATACTATTATTTACTTTAAAAAAATATGTGGTGTTGCAGATTAAATAAATAGTTCACTAAAGTTGTTTTGTTTCCATGGTAACCATTTTGTAATTTGTAGGAAAATGAGACAAAATTTTGAATTTCCTGAAAAATGCATAATTTTGACTGTCAAATATTCATGAAATTTCAATTCTTATATCTGTGTAATCTTAATTATGCATAATTTACAAAACAAAGATGTAGATCTAATTAATTTGAGAATCTTAAATAAGAAAAGAAAATTTATATGAGCTGCAAAATATATATAGCAGTGCAGGTACAGATTAGTTATAGCTAAATACTTTCACATTCTGATCACCTTTTTAATATGTAAATTTCCTCACCCCCACCCCATCCCCCCACTTCAATGATTTTTTTTTTTTTTTTTTAGAAAACTTAAACTTACATATTTTGCCGACTGTCACATTTTGCCGATTCTTTTTCAAGATGTATTCAAATGGGTGTGCATTTGCTGGCCAATAGTTTTAAACACCATCTGCATGGACCTCATATTTCTCCTGTACCAATCACCATAAACCTAAAAAAAAATCAATACAATAAATGGTACATCACATTTGCAGACAGACAGACACACAGACAGTCAACACATACAATTTTACCATAATCCTTTCATGCCCATTACTTGAAATTAATTAAATTTAAAAAATGATTAATTTGCTCCCACCTGAAATCACACTGTTTACATTGATAATAAAGTTAATTCACCAGAATTATATAGGTAAAAATTATGTTTTACTGACAATAATTGAACATTCAACAAATACATGTTATGCAATTGCTAAGAAATACGTGCCGATCATCAACATGTTCCAAAAACATTAAATTGTTATTTACAAATATTGTTCTAAGGTATACCTCTTACCTCCTGTGTAAAATACAAATGTCCATCACCTATATACTGTTTAACACTGCCCTGAACAGTCTGATAACTTTCTGCTGTCTACTTTCACTTCGACCTTGACCCCGATTGAATACCGATCCCGAGCTCATTTGTGAATTTCTGTGTATTGAAAATAAATAAACCACAATGGAACATGTACTTCTACATAATTGCTTCTTAATCAAATCATACATTTACGATTCTGAATAAATAAATTATATAAATCTATACATTTAATCTACATGATACATGTGTAAACAATGGGTGATACATGTTGACTGTTCCGGTGGGGGGTGGGGGGGCTAGACACTTTATTTATGAATCAATTTGTTAAAAAATGTGTATCAACAATATAAGAATTTTTTTTTTTCATAAATTTGAACAATTGAAAATAATAGAAAACAACAACTTTGAAATAAATTCAGGATTTATGACATCTTTCACTTACTTATAGGCTTCCTAATATGGGTACAGTCCACTAAATGTTTTCCCATAGGCGACAATGTTAACGTTTCTTCTCATAGCGATGTCCCTAATTTTCGTTCGGTAGTGAGTGACCCCTCCAATCAAAGCACATCAATTTGTCTTTCCTTGGTTAAAATCTCGAGGTTGCAAGTCAGATTCGTTTTCCGACAAAATGCATCTGTCTGCGGGAACCTCTAAAAATGAAAGTGAAAGTATGGTAATTTCAGAATTCTCACTAGCGTTATAATACACAAAATAATTCGGCTGATCTTCTTGATAAATTACATTTTCAAAGGTTTTTTGGTAGGAAAGATACTCCTTATCAACAAGTGTGAGGCTCAGTTCAGTACACCTGCCCAATTTTTTTTTTTATGCAAGTCTGCAATTTAAGGAACTTGTAATTTTTTATGCACTACTTTCTTCTCTTACCGATTCTAAAAATAATTAGTGGGATGTACCCAAGTGGATATCTTTGAACTTTTGAGATTTCAGAGAAGTAGTACATGTACCTGTGATTGTAGTACGTTTTTGTATAAAAAGAGCATGACTGCTGCTTTATAACAGACCTAATAGTTATCAATTGAATAAGACTGTGAACAATTGATGAATGTATTCAAAAATATGAATCAATTTTAGTCAGATCTCGCTTATTTAGTTTTAATTTTCATATGTTCAGTTCCACTAATAGCTTGATCAGCGTCTGAAGTAAAGAGAAACTGCGTGTCGAACTAACCTATGACATCATATCTGTTAGAACAGCGAGATCAAGTTGGCTTTGATTTTACATTCAATTAGTGTTATAATGGTTATAATGAAAAATCAAGGAATGTAAGAGTATATGAAAAAAGAATTTTATTATCTATTAGCCGAGATTCATTTGTACAATTTCACCGTGACGTCATAATCGAATTCCTAAGACTATGCACACACTGATCTACCTTTGGGTCGCCCTTTACCTAGTTGCGCAGTGGTGATCAAATGTAGAACCTGAAGTACAATCAGAATAATTGTTGATCTTGGGTACGATTTCAGCTGAATTAAATTTTCATTTCTTATATATTTTAGGTGCATCACGTAATCATAACAATTCAGAAAACAAAATAGATGACGATGCATCGAAATGTTTTTTTAATCCCTTCCCATACGAAAATGTGTAGTTGACCGTCAACTAGCCGTCAACTAACCGTCAACTAGTCGTCAACTGTTAATGCGAAAACAGTTGACCACTCGGAGTTGAATGCTTTTCTGAAAAGCGATCAACTGATTTGCATAAAACGGCCAGTTGACCATTAATTGAATGCTAATACTTTGAAATTTCATGCAGAACAAGAGTTGACCACTAGTTGAACACTCCGACTTGATAGAAAATTTCTCCCACGCTAAATTTATGTTGGGTTCAAAATTACATTATCATAGATCGGGTTTGTTATACCATAATTACAACAACCAAGATTTGAATCAGTACATGTGTGTTTTCTGTAGAAGATGGGAATTTTGATTTGAAACATTATTATTGTCTTCATGATGATTCAGCGTGTGAAATATATCTCATGTACTATTGTAAGTATATAAAATTTAAAGATTAAATATTGAAAGAATTCTGAAAACCTGTTATGCATTAAGTGTCTTGTTGTGTTTCTTGTCGTGTTGTAAAAATAAACAATTGCTTTAGACTAATTCTATATATAACCTTTTCTGCCCAGAAAATGAAGAAGGACTGTAACAACTTATGAGAGTGTGCCAGCTCAATTCATTTATAATGCATTTAGATTTACAAGTACCTTTATGTCAATTTAGAAACTCTATTGGTTTGACTTTTCATATTTTCAAGAACACTGCTTGTCTTAGATTTCAAATCTCCCTCCATTTTTTTTCAAATTTAATGAAAGCAACCTACGTGCACTGACTAATGGAGTATTCAACTAGCGGTCAACTCTAAAGGAAATAGTGGAGCATTCAACTAGCGGTCAACTGCAATGGAAATAGAGGAGTAATCAACTAGCGGTCAACTGCAAAGGAAATAGAGGAGTATTCAACTAGCGGTCAACTGCAAAGAAAATAGAGGAGTAATCAACTAGCGGTCAACTGTAAAGGAAATAGAGGAGTATTCAACTAGCGGTCAACTGCAAAGAATATATAGGAGCATTCAACAGTGGTCCACTCTATGCAAATGAGTTGATCGCTCCCTCATTTGCATGGCAAAAATTCAACTAATGGTCAATTGACGGTCAGTTGACCGTCAACTAGTAGTCAACTGAATACTCCGATTGAATTCTAATAGTACTTTTTCATATGGGTTCATCAAATATTTGTAGTATATCAGTTTATGCTACCGAACGGTAAAATACATTATTAGACCTCTACTGATTTTTCACTATATAAAAGTAAATCGACATATTTTGCTGATTTCCTGAAAATCACCGCGAATAAACCGATTCCCTGCAAAACCGACTGATTCCCTGTAAAAAATGTACGTTTTTTGATGAGCTGATACACACCTATTCGGAACACTAGCAATTTCTTTAAGCTTACGACAAACTTAGATATGTTCCGAATAAACTCATGAATATTCATTATGAATCGAAATGCATCGCGAGTCAACTGGTCCCAGATCTATCAAAAAGAACCAGTTTACTGGTAGCAAACGACCACCACATTGAACATGGCGAGCAGATTTGCGGTATTAGGAGACGACGATATAGACAAATTACTGGATATGAGGGACAGTAAGAACACTAAACGAATTATAAAAGCATCATTATAAGTATTGAAAACATACGTATTAGAGAAAAATATGAATTTTGAAGAATGTATGCCGTTCTCTACGGAAGAAATGGACTGACTCGTAAGGAAATTTTACTCGGAAACTAAGAGAGTTAACGGCGAAGTTTATGCAAAGAAATCTATGGTTTCGCTTCGTTATGGACTACAGAAACATTTTTTGAAAAGAAGAAAAGAAGATAAAATCAATGACGAAGCTTACAAAACCTCCAACGAAATGTTTAAGGCTGTTCTCGTTAAACTGAAGAAAGATGGCGTCGGTGAATCAAAACAGAAGGAGCCAATTACGCCAGAAGATTTATCCAAGCTATATGACTCAGAATTTTCAACAGAAACTCCTACAGCATTACAGAAAAAGACAATATTTGAATACATTTATTATTTCTGTAATAGGGGGCGTGAGAACATTAGGGAACTTCAGAAAGAGGACTTTACCATTTCAACAAATTCCACAGGAAGAGAATATGTCACTGTCAGAGAAAGACAGACAAAGAACCATAGGGGGATGATTTAATGGACATCTCTGTAAAACAGGGAAGGATGTATGATCGTCCAGGTATGTACAAATTTATTTTCAAAATTTTGCTTAATTAAACATGTTATAAATGTGTATCGGTTTAATGTTAAATTTTCGTGCTATTTACTAACAGTATCCATGTAAATAAAACAAATTTTAAAATCTGAAACCTTATTCAATTATCATTCATGATCAATGCAAGTAACCAATTGTAATTTGTGTATACTTGGTTTTTTTTTTTTAGGGGATCCCAATTGTCCTGTAGCATCGTTTAAGAAATACCTAGGCAAGCTTCATCCTAATAATCCGAACTTCTGGCAGAGGGCAAAGAGAAAATTTGATGAATCTGATGAAACATGGTAATTCCCAAGTTGGGAAAAACGCTTTGTATGCATTTATGGCAAATCTGAGTGCAGATGCTAAACTCAGTAAACGCTACACTAACCACTGCATTAGAGCAACGAGTAGATCAACATTAGACCATCAGGGAATTGAAGCAAGACACATCATTAGTGTGAGTGGCCATAAAAATGAAACATCAATCAAGTTTTATAGTTCCAAATTGAGTGATCAGAAAAAAAAAAACGCGAAATGTCGGACTTTCTTGGTAAAAACATACATTCCTCTTAAACTGTGTCTACAGTGCCATTAACATGTGATCCGCCTACCACCACCGACGCATGTTATCCACAGCTCGACTTCCTTGAATGCGACATAGTCAAGGAATTGTTTGAAAATGCTTTTTCACTGGATCACGTGCCATATGATAGTCTTCCTTCGAACACAAGCCTGACAAATACACTCTCGAGTAACACCAACTAGTTCTAATTTTCAAACTGTAATGTTACTTTCAATTTTACAAAGTAAAAAACTCGGACATTTAGACAACGAACTGATTTATTGATTCCTTTTATGAGCCACTTGTATTTTGTTTTATTCTTATTTTTATTCTGTTGGAATTAAACATTGTTTCAGTATTGAATATATCTTTTCAAATGTTTGTTTGAATCGGTATAATAAAACAGTTAAAGTATATCATTGAGGGAGTCAGCAAGATTCCAGTTCCCCTCGAGCAAGCCTATTTCCCTCGGCGCAAGCGCCTCGGGAAATAGACTTGCTCTTGGGGAACTGGAATCTTGCTGATTCCCTCAATGATATACTTTAACTGTATAATGATAAAATTTTTTCACAGAGAGAGAAGATATTAATAACTCATTATCCTAACAGGTAGTAAAGGAAACGCAAAAGTAAAAGTTGCTGCGGATGCACTCGGCAAATTGAAATGAGGGTTGTGGGTCCTTCCGATCACAAAATACAAACATATAAACAGCGTGATTGATGATTGGCGTTATTTTCAAACTTTCATCGTTACCAGGATACTGTTTGTAATGTATTTTGTTTAGTATAACTATCAGGATATTCAGATGGAGATAACTCCCAATATCATTTTATGTGGTGCCTAAAGGGGTTATTATAAAAATAAAACATTTCAGTTACGAAGTATACAAATAAAGTCTGAAAAAAACACATCATAAAATGAAAATTGACGTCATAAATTGAAAGCAATAAGAAATAATAATTATGATTAAGATATAAAATGAAACAATATACATACATGTACATCGATCTACTGTAAAGTAACAATACTATAGTCAAAAATTTGATTTTTTCTACGTAAAAAGAAACATTAAAATGATGAATCAAGTTTATAAATAAATTAGCTTATTTTTTGAGTTGTGAAATTTTAGAATAATGTGTTCAGAAATCTCATGT